AATATCTTGAAGTCTCCTCAGGTTAAAGAGCCCCCCCATTAACTCGGTTAGCCAACTAACCCTGAACGCTTCTGGGAAACACAGGATGGAATTATTAGGAATCAAGATGAAGGTTGGGCCCCATCCACTACCTGAGTAGCTGAGGAATTTTGGGGGAGTCAACCAAGCAAGGGGATCATGGAGATCCAAAGGTCCTATCTCAGCTTTATGGTGGCTGACGATGGCTGAGGACAACTCAGTCCTGCTTCTAAACTAAGCCATGGGCAAAGAGGAAGAGTGGGGTGAGTTCAACAGAACTTCCTTCCTTGTAGACAAAGATCAAAGACTTGCTAGGGTCCTCCCACCTTGGCAACTTTATGGCTTGTGGACTTCAAAACCCCGAATTCCTCAGCCAGGAATTCCGCAGGTTGTAAAGTTACCAAGGTGGGAGAGCCCTGTGCTAGGATATGATTGAGGATGAAACAAAAACATATTTTTTTTTGTATCCAACCCAGCCAAAGGCAGACAGCCTTCATCTAATTTGCTACTAGTAGAGCTATTTGCCAGTTACATTCCTGGAAACAGATTAAAATCCATTCTGTCTATTTCAGAAAAGTCCTGCCGAATGATTACGTTTTTTAAAAAAATATTCAGAAGTTATCTCCATCAATCAACTTAGCATTGTTTTTCCACCCAAGACAACAACTATCAAAAAGAACCTTACTGGAATAACCATGATGTTCCGTTCCAAGAATATCTTATCGGCTTCGGGGGTCGTGGGTCCATTAGCACCTTCAGCAATGATCTGGAAAGAACATCAGAGCATCACCGTTAAGCCCAGGAAATCTTTTAACGGAGGCAGCAAGAAGAGCTGGTGGAGAACAAAGTCTTACTTTCGCTCTGACATTGTGAGCGTTGGCTTTTGTCAACTGTTTTTCGCTGGCTGCTGGGATGAGGATGTCACAATCGGCTTCAAGAATGTGGCAGTCAAGAGCCTTAGCTTTTGGATAGGTGAGAATGGATCCGTGTTGCTGTTGAGAGAATGATGGGAATTACAAGTGTTTAGTCAGTGTCTTAACAGAACAGAGTAACAAAGTTGGAAGAGACCTTGGAGGTCCTCTAATCCAACCTACTGCTCAAGCAGGAGACCCTTTCAGACAACTAGTTGTCCAATCTCTTCTTGAAAGCCTCCAGTGATGAAGCTCCCACAACATCTGAAGGAAAGCCGTTCCACTGGTTAATTCTTCTCAGTAACAGGAAATTTCTCTTTAGTTCTAGGTTGGTTTTCTTGAACTAGTGGGATGCATGGAAGAAAAAATGGGGTGCACAGAGGTGGTGGTGGCAACGTTGGAGATGGGCGGTGATCTCCGCAGCCTGGAACAGCTGATCGGTGATATTCCAGGAGGCCGATCCAACCGCCAATCAGCTGCTAGTGCTAAATTAGGCTGTGCTGAAGCTGACCAGACTGTTTGCTGCAAGGAAGCAAATTGCTGGGAGGCAGAGGCCGAAGGGTGGCCGGCGGCGGGTAGGCTGGGCTTCTGCAATATTTGCTCTATAAGACGCACAGACATTTCCACCCACTGGGGGGAGGAGTGCGTCTTATAGTCCAAAAAATACAGTGTGTGTGTGTGTGTGTGTGTGTGTGTGTGTGTGTATGTATATATGTATATATGTATATATGTATATATGTATATATG